GCCTTCTACTAAAGAACAGGCTACCCAAAAACTTTAATCCAGTCTTCTACTAAAGAACAGACTGCCGTAGCCTTCTACTAAAGAACAGGCTACCCCAAAAAAAAACTTTAATCCAGTCTTCTACTAAAGAACTGACTGCCGTAAAAAAAATAATGTTTCAGTTATTAAGTAACTTTGTCGTCCTTACCTTTCTCTTCTATATGTAATATCTTAGGTATTATCGTGTGTAATATCTCATTGCGTTGCATCAAATGTGACCCAGCGTTTCAAGCTGTCAACTGCAACTATACTCCGTTGATTTGGAGCTTTTCTTAAATTCCTGAGATCCTGCACCTCATAACGATCGTTTGGCAATACGGCTGTGATTTTAAATGGTCCTTTTGATTTAGCAACTAATTTTTTGCTTTCTCCTGTCGCAACCGGGCTAGCTGCGACCATGACCACTTCACCAACTGCATATTTTGGTGCTTTGAATCTCTTGCTGTCAAATCTTTGTTTTTGACTCTTCTGATCCTTATCAATTATTTCTTTTGTTTCCTTCCGCAATTGTTCAAGATCAATCTGATCTAAAGTATCTTGTATGCTCGCCACCAATTTGGCATCTGCCATACCACGTGGCTTGTATCCAAACAATAATTGTGTTGGTGACTTCTTGGTAGTTCGGTGAACTGTGGAATTGATACCACTTTGTACAACTTTGACATACTCGTCCCAGGTTTCTTCAGGTTTTCCGGCACATGTTGCTGCTAACGAATTTAACAGTGTCCGGTTCACTCGTTCACACTGACCATTAGCTCGTGGTGTTGCCACTGCATTCAAAATGTGCTTGATCCCCAATTCTTCCACAAACTTTTTGAATCGGAGCGAGGTGTAGGCCGACCCTCTATCGCTAATTATACGTGATGGCACTCCGAAAATTGCAATCATCTGTTGCAACGTTTTTAATACTCCTCGAACGGAGGTGTCAGCGACGGGTTCAAGTATACAAAACTTTGTAAAGCCATCAACAATTGTCAATATATAGTTTTTATTGCGTTTGCTACGCACAAAAGGTCCGACATGATCGATGTGCACTGTATGAAATGGCATTGCCACTTTTTCTATGGAATTCAGTAAACCTGGTTTACGACCTGAACCACCCTTATAATATAAACAGTTTAAACACGAATTGACATATTTTTGTACAAACCGTCTCATGCCCTTAAACCAATAATGTTCTTTTATTTTGTTTAATG